CCAGGAATACGATGCATAATAATCACATCAGGGTAAATGAGGTATCTGTCACCTCAAGCATTTATCATTTCCTTGTTTCACAAAAATTTTAATTATACTCTTTTAGTTATTTTTTAATGTAAAAGAAATTATTGACTAGTCACCCTGCTGTGCTATCAAACACTAGACGCTATTCATTCGGTGTTTTTGTACCCTTAATCATCCCCACTTTTCCTACCCCCCTGAACCCTCCTACCTTTTCCAGTCTCCAGTAACCATCATTCTACACTCTATCTCCATGTTTTAGTTTTTAACTGCCACAAATCAGTGAGAACCTGTGAAGTTTGTCTTTCGGTGCCTGGCTTATTTCATTTAACACACTGTCCTCCAAGTCCATACATGTTATGCTAAGTTTTGATAATAATAAGGATAAGTGCATTTTGAATCAATTCAAGATCCAAAAGTTAGGAACTTCAGGCACATGGACTTGCTGTATTATTTTTATTGGTATATATGGTATATTTGGGCATAAAATGCTGTTAAAATGTAGAATCAAGTTTGAAGGCCTTCAGCTTTACTGCCCTGTTCCAACATATCTGACTGTGACAATGGAACCAGCTTAGACACCAAACACTAATCTACTCATAAATTAAATTGTCATGATACACGTTTAGCTGCATCCAGATACGACAAAGTTTACATTGAAAAAAAAAATACTCAACAATCCCTGGAAGGAATGTTAAGGTCAGACACTAGGCAGTGAGAGAATGAGCCAAATTTGATTTCACTTTATGTCAAAAATAGGTACAGAGTCAGTGACTCAGAGCTGGCTATACACTGTGACTAATCTTAGATCACATAAATTAGAAGTATGCAACAGGCTGTAAAACTGTTTCCAATCTGAACAATAACTTCCCAGTTCTTACAAACCTCTTATCAACAAACAAGTCATGTGAACCTATATAAAATGAAATTAATCACCTAATAAATATTGTAATCATAAAAATAATTACATACTAAATGTAAAACAATTTTAAAGATAAAAATCAAAATATTTTTGAAGCAGCAATTAATACTCATGTTTTATATAAATGATTCTCCTTAATTTAAATTTAATATTTTATATAAATATTTTATATAAAATAGATTAATACTCATGTTTTATATAAATGACTCTCCTTAATTTTTATATTTATACAAGGGAAAATATTTATAATTTTGCCTGATGGGAATGTGGAAATAATATATTGCAATGGAGTAAAAACCCCTATGAAAAATAATGAATTTTAGAAGAAAACAATTCATTTCTTTCTTCTACAAACATTTGAATGCCTACAATGCCCAAGGCTTTCTGCTAGGAACTGTGAGTAAAACAAAGACAAATAAGACGTGGTTCCTACAAGCAAAGAGTTTACAATGGAAACGAGCGGTTCCCAAATTCAGCACTGTATTATTCACATGTCTTGTTTCAATGAAGATTTAATTCCCAAATTCTGATTCCATAAGTCTAAAACAATGCCATAACGCTGCACATTCTGATGCAGAATTCAAGCTTTGTGAAGTAATGGTCCTCAGTCGTAGGAAAGTACATAGTTCATAGTACAATATGTGTAGTAACTGTCTAATTCTTTGATTTAGAATCCCTTCAGTCTACACATATGTAGCCTTTTAATCCTGAGTTAAGATGGAATTCAATTTTCCAATTACAGTAGACTTTTTTTTTTTTTTTTTTTTTTTTTTTTTTTTTTTTTTTTTTTTTTTTTTTTTTTTTTTTTTTTTTTTTTTTTTTNTAGCGAAGACCTGGACCTTAAATTCAGGTGGCTCTGTATCAGGTGCACATTGCTATTTGGATCATGTGTCTCAGTTCTATTAACTGAATTCCTGCTTCATTCCTGTGTCTAAGCTGCCACATTGAGGACCAATGTACTCAATGTTACTTTTAATGGCAAAAAACACAGTAACTTTTGCACCAACCTAGTATCTTCTGCCTTGCTCCTGAATCTCTCATTTATTTCAGATACATTGTCCTGTATTTTATTTGCCAGTTCCCAGACTCAGCTCCTGTCCAATGATCCAAGACCATTTTACCTGGTGCTAGACCACCCTGATGCAGACCACCTGCCTGCATTTGAACATTTTTTTCTTCTCACAGACTCCACATAGCAATGATGTGCTGGCCACCCACAGGGAAAACACCTGTCACCACTTGAGGGACTTTCTGACAGTGTTTGCTTGTCCTCAAAAGTTCCTGGTAATCTACTTCAGTACTCTCCAATACTTACAGAATATCAGAATTACCTAGAGAGATTCTGAAGTATATGAATTCTTAAGCTTCACTCATTGAGGCTATGAGTCAGCAAGTCTGGGATGAAGTCCAGAAATGCCATTAAAGGCTTTAATAAAGAAGGCACATTTAAGCTGGGCTTTTAAAAATGAGTAAGATTTTGTGTGTCATAGAAAGGGAAAATAATAATACAGCTAAGGGAAGCAAAGCAAGCTGATGATGAAACAGGGTTGAATATGTTTAAAGAAGAGAACCTAGTCAATTATTAGTTCATAGTAGATGCTTCATAAATGTTTTCTGAGTTAAAATACTGAAATAGTGAAATTGTGTGCTAAATAAATGAAGTTTAGCTGGAGACATCAGCTATATGACAAGGAGAAGATACAATAAAAGTATATAAGAATAAAAAATTAGAGAGAAACCAAATTCTAATTAGTGATGAATTCTAGGATATTTTCTAGACAATGAGAATGAGAAAAACATTTGGGGTATTCTAGCCCATCTCCTCCACATGATGACTTTCATTATTACTTCTGTGCTTCAGGTACTCAACTTGATATGTCTAACCTTTATTGTTCAGATAACTGCCAATGCATAAATGGTCTAATTCAATTAAGTGAGTAAGTGGAAAGATGAGACTTATGACTAGGCTAAGGTAGTGTGGGTGATAAGGCTACTTAGGATGTTATTAAAGGAAGCAACAAGGTTCCTCTAATATACAATGGTGGTGGACACAGTGGAGAAGGGGCAAATTGCAGAGCCATGTTGGAAACTGAATTAATAAGACCTGATTGTATGTAGAATAAATGGAGTAAGGAATTATATAAAACTATGAGGGTTGGGGTACAGTGGATTGTCAAGAAGAGGCATAGAAAACTGAGAAAAAGGCAGCGATTTCATGTAACACAAATCCCATTGATACTCCAACCAGGTCTTCAGTTGAAATTTTTCAACAATTTGGCCGGGTACGCTGCCTCACACCTGTAATCCCAGCACTTTGGGAGGCAAGACAGGTAGACCATAAGGCCAAGAGATCAAGACCATCCAGGCCAACATGGTGAAACTCTGTCTTTACTAAAAATACAAAAAATTAGCTGGGTGTGATGGCGTGCACCTGTAGTCCCAGCTACTGGGCTGAGGCAGGAGAATCGCTTGAACCTGGGAGGCAGAGGTTGCGGAGTTTGCAGTGAATTGAGATTGCACCACTGCATTCCAGCCCAGTGACAGAGCAAGACTCTGTCTCAAAATAAAAATTCAACAATTTGAGTGGATGTGCAAGAAAAAGAGGATAAATGCAGGAGAGATTTGAATAAATTGATGGAGTAATGTTCTAGAGATAACATAATATTAAAATGAAAATGAACAGCTAGATCCCTGAAAGAGTAAGGCAAGGACATCTTAAGAGAAGATATGTGGAGGGCATGAATAAAGACATGGGTAAATTTTTTTGATGGAAGGAGGGCATATCAATATAGCTGATATCATTAGTAAATAACAATAAATATGGATGATGGGAGAACAGACTAGGTTCGGAAAGAGAACAATTTTCATATGGAACGAAAAGTATTTCTATGAACCTATTTCCTATGGTGTAAAAACAACAGTTACATAGAAGACTGTGGAGTAACTGGGACAATTAAGGATGATGAATTTATAGACAAACAAAGTAGAATCATTTCTATTTTTTTCTTAGAAATATTTAGCAGCCAGCATCTTGGGGGAAAAAAAAAAAAAAAAAACAACGTGGTCTTCTCAGAGTGAGGACCCTTCCTGGAGGATAAGTCACAATGACAAGGTATGAGATCTAAGGAGCAAGAGATTGTGGTGTTGAAATGTAACTGTTCCATCCTGGAAAGGGAAAGACTATAGTCTGAAAAAATGTTGCACTGGAAGAATGAGAAGGAAAGGATGCTGAGTTAGATGCTGAAATCAGAAAGAAGGCAGACTATGTGTTGATGTTCTAGGTATACAGCCTCAAGAATAGAAACATGAAGCAAAATTAGACTATGAGGATTTCCAAGGGAGAGACAGGTTAAAAGACGTTTCCAAGATAAAGGGTTTGGATGTGCCAGAAGTTAACAATTATGCCAATATCCACAGTGCCCGTTAGGACATGCATCCAGGAAAGTGGTGTTATAAGGAAATAATCAGGTTTTAATTTATGTAAGCAGGTAGAATACGGAAAAATAGGATGAAGGATATTATGACATAGGATAGAGCACTTCTAGTTAAGGTAAGCGTTTCTTCTTGTAAACTAAAGCTTAAAGACCTGGATATTTTATTCAACTAGCATGAAAGATAAAGGCTGGTATAAAGGGGAAGAATATATGGAAATGAGTCTGATATACTTCAGCCATATACTTCAGGGAAACATCTAGATTTCCATAAAAACAATTAAGACAAAACAAGATATACATGAAAGGTTTACATGTTTATTCCTTCTTTCAAATCATGGCAAAGCACAATTTAGTAAGTCAAGGTTTTATATTTGTGGAAATACAGTAAAGCAGATTCTCTCTCTTTTTTTCCCTCCCTCAATCTCCCAATGGTTTGGAGAAGGGTTAAGGTAGTACACAGCTGGTACTTAAGCAACACATGGGATAAAAAAGCCTGTGTCGTATTTTTAAATTGTGCTTTATATCTTTAGATAAATATGCCATACAGTTTGCAGGTGGTATTGACACAATCCACAAATAATTAAAGGTTTCACATTAGTTACCTGTTTCATGTTAGTTACCTGTTTCAGGTAGTGTGCTGATGTGGCATGTTCTTTCATCACCTTCACCAGCGGAGGTTGAAGCTCTTATTTTAAAGACATATGAGGTATCAGCAAGAAGTTTTATGAAAGTATAAACATGATCTTGGGGAGAGACTTTTGTAGAATTTCTTTCAGCTGTTATCATATAATGCGTAATTATTCCATTTGCCTTTTTGGGTGGATCCCATTTCACTAAAACTGACTGCCAGCTAGTTGCCATACACTGCATATTCTGCACAACATCTGGAACTTAAGAAATAAACATATGCCCAAAGTTAAAATGCATACACATGTAAGTAGATAATTGATTAAATTATGTGATAACTAGATAAAACTGTGTTTAGAAGTAGAACTAGAAAAATATTTAATATATCAACTGTTCAATGTGTGCTTAAAAAGTCATTAACATAGACTGAATCAAAAGACTGTTGACTTGTTTTTTACACTATTTTATTAGTCCTTACAATATTGAACCAGTCACTGAATATCTTCCCGGTCCAAGCACCAATCACATCCTCAAAAGCTCAGAAGCAAATGTGTAGCCTCAAGCCCAGGCCCAGGCAGTGTTTGATAACTGCTCTCTTAATCGGAAAGGAACAATCTTAGCAATACTATGGAAAATTTTTATACAAAACATACACGCAGGTGCCTCCCTAATGTGACAAATCTGGGCTTCACAGAACTTGGAAACCCCTAACTAATTTAAAGGTAAGGCTTTTTTACTGGAATGGCTTCTTTGGAAGAATCATGAAGATCTCATCTTTAAGTACCTTTCATAGAAATCATTGGAAGGAAGATTTAAGGAGTCTCAGTCTTATTTTCTGGAGCCTCTCTGAATTTACTTGAAAGTAACTCAATTTTTCAGAGATCCACTGTATCTGGTAGACCTGGTTAAAGAACAATATCTCAGCCCACCAAAGAGACTGCACATTAGAGAGACTGATTACTTCCCACGAAATGTCCAATAAGCCAAAGTCCCCTAAAGTTGGTATTAGTAGAATAACTTTTCTTGTCAGAGTAAAAGATAATGGTAGAAGAAAAATTGGGACATAGTCAATTTGTGGATTACAAACAATGAAAATTGAAAGAAAATAACTTGCTGCCATTATGTAAAACATAATGCTTTAAAGAATACTCAGGTGATCTCTCACCTGCCTATACTGCTTTACCTGGGTCTAAACTGAACTGTTATAAACTGTTCTTCTTCTGTAAGATAAAGACAACAGTACTAAAGGGGAATACTTAGGGAAGGTGTTGCATTTAAAAATTCTTAAAAGATAATTTCTGGGCTGATCAAGGGATCTAGCAATTAAATATTATTAACTATTCACTTCCTTGTTTTCAAAATCATAAACAACATTTTTATAAAATAAGTTAACACAAGATAGATGACAATTTGCTGAACTTTAGCTTATAAATCCAGATTTTACGAATATCTATTTTTCTGATTTTGTGAACCTCAAAACAAAAAATTAGCCAGTAATATTATAACATTTAAAGGTGAAAATTTTATTTATTTAACTAATCAGAGTATAGAATGTTGTGGTACAATTTTATCTTACTGACAAAAATATTTATTGGTTAACAGAGCACTTTCTACAAGATTAGCCTTGATTCTTATTACCCTCATATACAAATATTGTTAATTTTTTTTAATTTATGGGTTGAACATTTTTATATTCTATCACTCATTTACAACCTGCATTTTCTATAGTCATGTCCACTCTTCACTAGAAGTCAGAGGCCAATGTTCTAGTCAAGTTCTTCACCAATGTTCTCAAGGTCTTTTTCATCTAATCTGCCTGAATCATGGCTTCTTCATCTGTAACATGGGAATGTTGGCAATAGTAATATTTAGGGGGCATTTACTATGTACCTAATACTGTATGAAGTGGTTTACATGGATCTTTTCAAATATTTTTGACAACTACCTTATGAGATGGCTACTGTTAATGTGTGCTTCATTTCAGTTAAGGATACAGAGGCTCAGAAAGTCATGAGCCTTTGCCAAGATTTTACAAGTAGTAGGTCATGGGGCTCAAATCCAAACCCAGACAATCACTGCATGTACTTTTATCCACTATAAATGCTATTTATTTTGCCTTTCTTGCAGGAATGCTATGGAAAAAAAAAGTCTCAGGTAGTCATAAATTAATGCAAAAATGGTTAATTTAGCAGTCAGTGGTCTACAATCTCAATTTTGAGATTCACTAAAATACCAGGAAGTGTATCCAGAGCTGCTAAGAAGAAATGACTAGAATGGGATCTTGTGCTCATTCAATAAACGTTGACAGGAGTAAAAAAAAAAAAAAAAATTAAGAAGAGGTACCTTTAAATGTATGGTCCAGTTGAGAAAAGGAGAAGTACATTTCTAAGCCAACATTAAGTAAGTCGTAAATATAAACTATTCAGTGTACACACAAAGGCAAGGTATGTCATGTATACATGTGTGACACAGCAGGTAAGCTATTGATGAATTAGGTCAGTGATATTTAACAGTGTCCTCCACATGGTAAAGACGAGATGACGGGAGCATAGGGGATTTATGCAATGGCTCTTGCTCTCCAAATGTTGCAATTCATCTTCTTAAAAGAAAATTATATATATTGTTTCTTAAGAATATAAATCAGGCTGTTAAAAGTGACTGCTGGTTCATTTCTCCTTTTTTTTCCCCCCAGCTGTCTCAAATAGTTCTAAGAATTAGACAATTTTCACAGATATCTAAAAGGCTATTTTGTTTCTAAACTACTTTTTAATTTCAACTTCTTCAGTTCAAAAGGAAAAACAATGTGTAAATATATATGTACAAACACAGATACAGCATATTATTTCAAACGTAAAACACTGAAATGAAATTTCCCTTTGAATAGACTCTTAAGTAATGATACTTTATCATATAAACTAAGAAAAAAAAAAGGGAAAGGTGTTAAATATAAAATGAAATATTTTAGGCTCAAAAACTGCATCTAACCTGATTCTTGGGTTGTGAATTTTACTACATTACTAAATTGATTGCCATTTCCAACTTTGGTGAAGGCAGATACACTGATAGAGTAGGTGCTGACTGGTTCCAGTCCAACAAGTTTGGCTTCAGTTTGAAAACCTGATATATTCTGAAAAGCAGAAAAAAAATTTATTAGTCCCAATGCATCATAAAAAATTTGGAATATTTTCATTGAAGTTATTCCTTCTCTATTTAACAAACAATTTAATAAGCACGGATATTTTAAATTATAATAAATACTAGCATTTTTTTATGCTATAGAGTGTGCTCAGCTTATGATGTAAGGACGAATTGGGCACCCTCTTCGCCCTGAAGAACCTCATCATTGCCTTTTTTACGCCATTTTTTTCTTTTTTTTTGAACGGGAATCTTGCTTTGTTCCCTAGGCTAGAGTGCAGTGGCACGATCTCCTCTCACTGCAACCTCCACCTCCCAGGTTCAAGCAGTTCTCCCTGCCTCAGCCTCCTGAGTAGCTGTGATTATAGGTGCCCGCCACCATGCCTGGCTAATTTTTGTAATTTTTAGTAGATACAAGGTTTAGCCATGTTGGCTAGGCTGGTCTTGAACTCCTGACCTCAGGTGATCCGCCAGCCTCAGCCTCCTAAAGTGCTGGGATTACAAGTACGAGCTACCAGACCTGGCCTATAATTGCCTTTTTTAAAAAAACAGCGTTTTGTTTTCACTTTGTTTTCCTGATTTTTACTTGGAATTAGATAATCTTTTTTTTTTCTCAATCTGCTATAATTACAGTTTGCAATTTAAATTCAACTTGTGGGTGGTCAAAGATACTTGATTTTTCTGAACTCATCTAAATTTATTTTTAATGCCCACAGCATTCCTGTGTAACTTAAATTTATTCTTCAGCCATTGTATGTAGACACTGGCAGTAAAGCAGTGAATAATAAGTTTAAAATATCTAGCTTCCATGAAGCTTAAATTGGGAGTTTTCCCATCCAATTCCTAAGTTTCTAATTTAACACAATTTTTTAGAGAAATGAGAAAAGGAACAAAAGAATATCATAGTTGCTTAAGGAGGAATATGATTTCTCATAAAAAAAAATTCTCATTAAGTATAGAATTTTCATTCAAAGATAATTGTCCTAACCAAGAAAGAGTTAAGATTAATCAATTATCATTATGGACAGAGAAGATAATCTCCTATCTGGTATAAGCATAAGAATCTTACATTATATCTGACAAATATAAGCCATATTGATTATTTATTAAACATTTCAGTAACAGAAATTTAATAAGAATATTAACTCTTGGGGAATTTACAATTAGGATCCTATTTTAAAATAATCTCTAGGAATTCATTGGCTTTCTGGGGCTTACTGAATCTCTTTATTTCAGTCATTCTTTTCTGCTTACTATTTACAAATCATACTATAAGATAATCTGGAGATTATAGATACATATAAGTCATGGTCCTGCCATCAAGGAATTTTTATATTAACTAGAGAAATCTAAAATTACTGAATGAGAAAAAAATTAAACACAAAACAAACTATGATTTTGTTTAGAAAGGGCTAATAACCAGAGAAACAACTGAACCCGAGAGATCATAATAATCAAAGAGTAATTTATGGGAGAGTGAACAAATTTACACAAGAGTATGTTGTCAAAAAGGGAGACGGGAGTGATGAATATTTAAAAATCTATTTTAATAGAACTTGTACTAAATAATTTCTTTCAGTATGTGTGAGTGACGTGTTACCTACTGATTTCACTATCTGTGGACCACAACGGATTGACTGGGATTGCAGTAACATTTGAAGTGGTTCTAGCATTATTGTACCTCCACAAATGCACATCTAATTTGAAAGAAGAAAAAGAATATAAAAACAGAGAAAATAATATAAATTGTTACTGTCAGGATATCAGGGTAGATGAAAAAGAAAGGAAAATAAAACACACTAGGGGAGAAAGCTAAACAGAAAGAGGAAAGCAAATATAATAACCAGATGCTGAGAAAGGGAAAAAGATGGCATGAGAGTACATTTAAAAGAATTTGAAAGAAAATAAGATTATGGGCGGGGCGCGGTGGCTCACGCTTGTAATCCCAGCACTTTGGGAGGCCGAGGCGGGTGGATCACGAGGTCAAGAGATCGAGACCATCCTGGTCAACATGGTGAAACCCCGTCTCTACTAAAAATACAAAAATTAGCTGGGCATGGTGGCGCACGCCTGTAGTCCCAGCTACTCGGGAGGCTGAGGCAGGAGAATTGCTTGAACCCAGGAGGCGGAGGTTGCGGTGAGCCGAGATCGCGCCATTGCACTCCAGCCTGGGCAACAAGAGCGAAACTCCGTCTCAAAAAAAAAAAAAAAAAAAAAAAAAAAAAAAAAAAAAAAAAAAAAAAAAAAAGAAAAAGAAAAAGAAAAAGAAAAAGAAAATAAGATTATGAAAATTGATGAAAGACAAAATAGATGTAAAAAGGAGTTAACATGAGGTAGTAGATTTTAAAACATAAAACTGCCCATCTCAAATAATATATTTAATACCGAATGGCATAAAGATTGTATTTTTGCTGCTAGTGAAATATTAAAGACGTGCTTCTATTGAGAAAAACTGTTTACAAAACTTAGAATATAAACTATTCTCATATTCACATATTGGCATATTGTCATTTCATGCTTAGTGCTATTAAAATGTTGGACAGAATTTTTTGTTCTTTTAAACACTATGTACAACTACAGTAACAATAGCTAACATGTTTATCACATGCTTGGAATTGTTTGAAATGCTCTATGTAGATTTTCCTTTATAATCCTCAGTTTCAAATGTATACATCTTTGTAACTCATATTTTGCATTAAGAAGTAAGCAATGTATCCACTGAAACACAGTAAGTTTCAAAGGCAGAATTTGAGTCCGGTAATTTGAAGTCAGCACCCCTGCTTCACCACTATGCTAAGAGAGTTAGAGATTACCATTCTGAGGAGATAAGATCATATATAGACATTCACACTCTAATATACATACACAACAATCCAGGGAATGCAATTACTCTAAGAAAAGGATTATTTTTTCCCTTTTGATATCTATCTCCCAGTGATCCGTACAGACAAAGCAAATAAAAAATGGAAAAATGTTTAGATTAAACCAGGGATAGATATTAAAGGGCAAGAGGCTTCATGTCATTTAATATAATTTCACACTTCTGGGAAACAAATTCCACATTTATGGAGTAATATGATTCAAATTATACTCAGACTATCAGGTTTTAAAGTAATATCTTGGTTTCCAGAAAGAAAGTCATTGCTCCTGATGATAAAAAGTTAATGTCTGCTTTCGATTTTTACTATTCAATTTGTAAGCTACACATGCTATAACAATGATTTACCATAGTCATAAATTGTAATACTCATAATATTGAGTAAAACATTTACTGCAGATTTTTTGTACTCTTCTTGCTGTAACCAAATAAGAACATTCCAGGAATTCTTTTGCCTTTGGGAAAGAAATAAGAAAATTTTCTTAAACAAATGCTTGTTAATTACATTTTGGCAATTAAATGCTAGAAATCACAGATATATATTTGAGACTCTGTTACATCAGTTTTGTGAATATTCTTCACTAATTCTGGATTCCAAAAATGGAGGAAGGAAAATGTAGTTAGTGTTGCAAATGAATTACTCTTGAAAATTAAAAAAAAAATAAGGATAAGGATATATCTTAGAAGACCAATTATTGTAGGATCATACGCTATCGGGAAAGATGACCAGAAGTCCAGTATGAATATTAATACTTTCTAAAAGGTTAAAAAGTTTCCCTTGGTACTGCTGGTAACAATAGATAGAAATACATTTTATAACAGCTTTGTAAGCCAGAAAAAAATTATTGTACCCTTTCCAGCATTTAACAAACGATGCAATTGTTTCTTATATTGTAGATATCTAGAAGTTACAAATCTAAGTACATTGCTCTATGAAGTATTCAGCTTATATATCTGGCAAACGCTTTCTTGTGTTTTCCATAGCATCCTTAAATTGCAGGAAATGAAGCTTTTTAAAAAATAGTCATTGTTTAATTTAGTAGGCCATTTTCTTCCTAAGTGGCAAAAAATTTTAATTCCATTTCTAAATTTTTTAAATAAACATATACTGTTATAATCAACCTACCTTAAAAAATATAGTGTCAGTTTCATGTTCATGAATTTTAAAACTATATACTTTAACAATACCGCCTGGAAGAGGACTTGGGCTCCATTTCAGCCATACAAAGTCTGAAGTATAGTTGATTAAAGTCAAATTTTGTGGAGGTGCTAAAGGCACTGCAGGAAAACACACGATGAAACTAACATTCATAAAACTTTAACATAACAATAGCACCATGAATTACTTTCTTGAAGAGACTAGTTTAAAAAGATTAATAAAATGATCATATTTTAATTTCAGAAATAAATATCATAACTAATTATAATTTGTATTTGGACACAGTAGTTCCAAAGTAGCTTTAAACAGAACATAAAATTCTGAAGCTCAAATTGAAAACAAAAAAAAAAAGATTCAAGAAAGTAAATATAATGGTAAGGCTGTTACAAACAAACAATCAGATATCCTTTCATTTTTCATGCTTTTCCTTAAAAAGAAAACTCAGGCGGCAACAGTGAAATTGTCTGAAGAAATGTGGATTCCGGCTTACCTGACTCATCTGTGTAAAAGAAAAGAATGCTGGAAGGACCAAGTCCTTTTATAGTTCTTGCAGCAGCGAAAAAGCTATATAATGTAAATGGTGAAAGCTCTTCCAGTATTATGTAATTATCAGAAGTAATGAAAGAATAATTTTCATTTGGTCCTTGTAAAGTTAAATCATAACTTATTATTGCACCATTTGGCTTTACTGGGGGATCCCATGATAAGAGAACTGAGGTAGAGGAAAGGTTTTTAAAAGTGTTGATTATTGGTGAAGTTTCTGGGACTATAAAAGAAAAAGAGAATATTAAATTAAAAGAAGCTTCAATCACAATGGGATTTGATTTTCTTAGCAGATTATTTTAAGAAACACTGTATTTATGGAAAGGCTAATTACTTGAGATCAAACAGAATCAATATAATTGAATACTGTTTCCTATCAGAAAGCAATGTAAATGAAAAGAACAACAACAATCTGCTTAATAGGCAATAAAAGTGTCTAGCCTACCATCTTCTTCAGTTTTGATGTATAGCTGGGCAGTATAGGTATCAGAGAATCCCTTTTCTGTTGATGGAGTAATTTTTAAAATATAACCAGTGTATTTTTCCAGATGATCAAAATATATGCTTCTCTCATATGTAACCAGAGGTGGTCTCACATGGCGAGGAGCCTGCTCTAAGCTCAGTGAAACATAGCAGAAGACTAGACCATTTGGTTGAGCTGGTGGGACCCAGCTTACATTTATTGCAGTTGACGAAATGGATTCATAAGTTAGGTTTCCAACAAGCCCTTCAGGTACTATGATAGGTAATGAGCAAAATACAAAAATCATCAGTTACCCTAAACAGAATCTAAATTCACAGAGTTACTAATTGTTGAAATGGCATCTATTACATCATCAGCACCTAAATTATTTAAATGCAGATATGGCAAACATTCACCTATTATAGAATACCTTCTAAATAATTACTTTAAAAATCATTCAAAATAAACTCTGTCATCTTTAATATGTATGGAAATTGTTTCTATAATATTCTCTTGGCTTTTTTCCCTACTACATGATTGTGTGGGTGTGTGCATGTGTGTGCATAATGTGTGTATGTGTTTGCATAATTTGTGTATGTATACTGTTTTAAGTATTTTGATAATTTATATTATCTCAACCATATTTTTAGTTTATTTCTTCTAAATATTACCCTTGTTTCACATATGAGGAAACTAAAGCTCAGAGCCATTAAGTGAATTCTCCAAGGTCATGTGGGTAGCCAGAAGAATTAACACTAAAAGCTTTCCCAATATCTAGTCTCACAGTTTCTCTAGTTATCCGAGTTCTAATTCTCATTTATAAGTTGTATTATGATATTAAACTCTATTAATATAAATTTTACATCCACCTTTGGAGTAGCACATAGTGCTTATTACTCACAGTGTGGAAATTATAACTGATAAAATGTTATAGGTTGGTAAAAACCCTGGGAAAGATCTGCATTTAAAAGTGCCTGAAGGCCAGGTGCGGTGGCTCAAGCCTATAATCCCAGCACTTTGGGAGGCTGAGGCGGGTGGATCACGAGGTCAAGAGATTGAGACCAACCTGGTCAACAAGGTGAAACCCCATCTCTACTAAAAATACAAAAATTAGCTGGGCATGGTGACGTGCACCTGTAATCCCAGCTACTCAGGAGGCTAAGGCAGGAGAATTGCTTGAACTCAGGAGGCAGAGGTTGCCGTGAGCCGAGATCACGCCATTGCACTCCAACCTGGGTAACAAGAGCGAAACTCCATCTCGAAAAAAAAAAAGCCTGAAATGGTATTGATCATATATTACACTATATGACTCCCAAAATACATATTTACACATATTTATCATATCTTTTTATGTTGACCAACTTGTCAACAATTTGAAAGATTGTTCCAACAACAAAGCAAGCATTCACTTCTCATGCTTAAAGAATCTATTTATTTCAGAAAATAAACATGGAGTTTTACTCCAGAAATTTAGGTCACTACCATTTCTCAATATCAGGGACTAGTCTTTGAAAATAAACAAGCAAATGGATGACAAAAACAACTACAAGAAAAATAAGCAATGATCCACTTATCATTGTATTCTGAAAGTTGAAACCTAAAAAACATCAAGAGCTTCAATCATTACAGTTTTCTGAATACTCAACGTAAATAGAATTCTTCAGAAGATGCATGCGAGAAACTTCTGGAGTTAAAAAAATATATATTCTGGAAATATTAGACACAAACACAGTAAGAACAGAAGTGCTGCAGAGTCCTATGTAGATTCAAAGTCTGAAAAGAAAACAAGTTGCTACAGAGTTTAAGTCCTTAAAGAAAACGGTTAAGTAAATTAACTATTGGAAATTTCATCCATGTATGCAGTACTTTTTGTGCCCATAACTGGATGACCATGACATCTTTTGAAGCAATAAAAAGAATAGAATTTTCATGAACAGATGTTAGCAGTTTTCTTGAACAGAAGAGGCTATTACTGTAATGGTGTTATAAGAATATTAATTGAATTTTCACACTCCTATAATGAATGTGTCTAAATAAAAGATTTTATTACAAATTCAAACAAATAGAAAAAGTTCCTAAAATAATAAGTTTTAAATTAATCATATTAAAGATTAATAAGTGTTTTTTGTTTACATACTGTCTTGATCTGTGTATACTTCAACTATGTCACCGCTTTTATTCCCATTTCCAACTGAAGTACTTGCTGTTAACCAAAATGTATAGTAGCTGAATATTGCCAGTTTATCTACTATTGCAGATACAGTCATATTGTCAAAGTCATTGGTTACTTCATGGAGTGTAAAATTCTGAAAAATAAACATATCGCTTTCATTGTTCAGAATGTATTTTTTTAGTATGCATGAACATTTCAAAATAATTTATACATGAATTGATTGTCTCATTTCAATATGTTAATCGTTTTAGGAAAATCAACATAGAATTTTTTATTGCAATAATTAAACTGGAAATATGTTTGAACTAAAAGAGAAATCGATGGTAGTTTTTATTGTAAAATCAATACACAAAAAAGCAAAGAGTAAAAACTCCATGCTAACAATGAAGAAGGTCAAGTGGCCAAATGGAAATGCTACAACTGTGCTGATCAGTGTCACTTTTCCTTATAAAAACATGCAAGTATTTTTCAAACCATTAGCTAATTTTAAACAAGTTTGGGAGTGTTATAAAATTTTAGTTTTGTTTCATTCCATTTGTGATGAAGGAATTATGAATGTGTTTACCTCTTTATGACCTCGAATAGCTATTATTATTCACATTTAGTGAGTCTTTTTTTTTTTTTTTTTTTTTTTTTTTTTTTTTTTTTTTTTTTTTTTTTTTTTTTTTTTTTTTTTTTTTTTGCTACAACTGTGAGAAGCAAGGGATGGCTGATTGATGTACTCTCTGATGTACAGAGTAAGAGAAAGTTTTAAATTTTCTGGCCTGACTCCTAATTACATTTTTTTCCCAAGGCTTTAAAAAAATATTAGGGTATTTATACATTTTCTTTCCTACCAAATTTTAAAAATAAAACACATAGTCAAATAAAACTCATTCTGAAATAAAAGGAGACTTAGACATATAGGTAAACAGTATGAATAATTTTATAATTTCCATCTGCACAGAGTAATCTGAATCAATCCAATCCACATGAAGCCATTTAAGTCCTATAGACCTGCATTCAAGTTCTGTCAGGTTATCCCTGGATAAATCATCTAATCTCAAAGCTTCTTTTCCCTCAACTGTAAAATGGAAATAATCATCTCCACTTCACAGACAACTTTTGAGGATTAGATGACATGAAGCACATAAAGCCATTAATACTATGTCTAGCACACAACAGAAAAAAATGGTAATTAGTTTCATTTAAATGAATAACAGGATAGCAATTTGACTAAATTTATAGTAAGAATGGTTCTAAAATTTATCAACAAATTAACTTCAGCAAAATTTTACGGTTCTTTTGCCAGTATTCAGAGGAAAAATATAGTGCAATAAAAGATTTACTTCAATTTTGTGGTGATTTACATAAAAAATACACAAATTAAAGTAATATAGCAATCTCACACAAAATATGATCCATTAACTTTTGTACTTTCCAATACATCTGCTTTACACATGGAACAATTGGCTTATACAAAGCAACACCTAAAAATATTAATGTAGCTTTTTGATGTAAATTTTAATTTTTGTTATAGAATTTATTCTGATTACCTATGACCTTGATGACTAATACATAACAAATTATCTAAATCACCCAGAAGTCATTCCTGCTGAGTGGGTGACTTAATGTGCATAGACATCTAACAAATTTGTAACATTAGATTAATTATCCAGATGATTCTTTTATTCACCTGTTTATTTTTGCAGAAAAATTGTCTTTTGGCACAAATTATCTAATTAAGGCTTATTCTTTTGTTTATATAAATATAGTCAGAATGTATTTAGTAAAACCTTTTCAAATTTGACCAATCAACTAATATTCACTTAGCACTTTTTAAAATAAAAAAACATTATGCCAGGCACACTAAGGAAACATAAATGGATAAAAATTAAAAAGTCGAAAAGTTAATATGCTGTACAAAATACAATGTGCAACAACTGAAGGAAGAACAATATGGTTTGCCAAGTAGTAGCAAAGAGGTTAAATTCTCCAAGATGAAAAGAAAGAAAGATGACTTTGCTACATACTCAGGTGCTCCAAAATTATGACTATGTACTAAAAGTGATGTTGACCTATTATAATTTTGTAAATAATGTTTCAATTAAAATATTTATTGATCATTAAACCTATGTATGATATAGTTCTAGGGGACTTTAAGAGATGAAAAGATAAATGTTACACAATTACGTCTCTTCAAGATGCTTATCATGGCGTAGGAGAACTAAAAGAAGCAGCAGTTATCTGGAATAGGAGACAGAACATGATATACCATGCATGACGTATTCTGCAATGTTCTGTAGGAAGAAGAAAGATGATAAGGAATGAATAAAAGGCTATACACCTATTCTGGTATATAATTCTCCTTTTGAGGATTTCTTCCACTAATTTGAAATAGAAAATTAGGTAGTGAAGATATTGATGCTATTTTTAACATTAACTTTAGAAATAAATGAAAGCACTGATAAACTTCAAGCAATATGAGACTATACTTCTGATATGTTTTAACATCATTAGCCTGCACCCTCTTGCAGCTGTCACACTTAAAAGCATTCTTAAGATTATTTAATAAAAGATAACATGTTCTAAGACAGACGAATTGCAAATTGGATCATATTACATACCAAGGTTTGAATAAGTAGGTTTAGAAGATCATGTTGGAACCAAAGTTTGATACTTATGCTTTATTATTTAGATATGGACAAAGAGACCCAAGATATAAATCACATATAAGCCATAAGCAAATTGTACAGAGACAAAATCATTGCTAAAATTTGGAACTACTGAAACAATTATACAAATACTTTTAAAATGTGTAAGAGGAAAAATCTCCAATTTGAATATCTTCTATTGGTATAGTGACTATTGTTACAATTGTAAACAACATTTTGGTAAAAAATAAACTGCCTCTCTAGGCCCCATTTCTCTTTCTTAAAGAGAACAAAACAAAAAGCAAAAACTGCGTGACGTACAGAGTAGAAAACTGGACCATCCTTTCTCCTTCTGCTGTTAAGGCATTTGTTGAGAAATCTTGAATTATAATTATATCTATAACTATGTCTACATGTCTTTTAATACATCTATAACCATATCTACATGTCTTTTATAAAGTAATTTCCTTGTTGCATAAAGTTTGAAATAAACATATACAACCCTACTCTTCTAGGACAGAATGTAAACACTAAATCACCTTCTGGACTTTGTCTGTCTCTCTTCTAGGTTAGTCCTGAGATAGCTTACAAAGTTCTGCTCTTGCCCTCTTCAATAGCCTACATTGCATTATAGCTGCACTAAAGTCTTAATCCCAGAGGTTGTTACTCGGGAAAACTAACTAGTGACTAAATTTGGGTTGTCAGTAACAAATGGGTTTAAGCAACTCAAAGTTTGTAAGACTTATCTTTCTTCTTCTTTTACCTAATGGGATGTAAAGAATTAAGAATCACTTAGTCACAAATATGCAGTCAATAATTTCTACCACTAAAGGATATATTCTGTATATTCTGTACACTGCAGTACTTCTAAATTCCAGTTTTTCAAATTATATTCTAGCTCTCTGTATCTTTGATTCAATCATAATCACTCCAACTATCCTTTTCATATGTTAGAGTTCTGTGAAGCATCTAATTTGGAAAAATAATATAACTGCTAAAAAATTGAAAATGTTTCTTCAAAGTAAATGCATTTTAGCTATTTTCATAGCTATCATCATTCACATCCTAGAGAGTGCCCAACTACAAACTGTGCAAGCCTACAACTGTATCTTTGACAAGTTAAATAACATTCTGAGTGGTCTTCATTACATCTGATATTAAACAATAGCTACTATTATACTATTGTTATAATAGCTCCTCCAATTAACAATCAAAAACCTTTTTTAAATTAAATAAAAATATGCAAACACATCTAAACACTAAAATTATTTATATTGTATACAAGCAAATGTAAAAAAATTAGCTAATAAATAACTTTCAGGATAAATGACACCATCAACACTTTACAGAAAACTTCTCGGAGGAAGTATAATTGAGGGCCATCTTTATGAACAGAATTTTAAGTAGCTGGCAGATTCAGATTCACTGTTGTTAATACATGTGAAGCTTATATAGAAATGCGTGTGTGCATAAGGAGAGATTAAATGTATCTGACATTTCTATACCACACTTTTCTATGTCAATGGGAGTTGTATAAAATAAATCTGTACATAATTATCACTGTAAGGTAAATAATTTGTTTTACTGTGACAAGTCTGTATTATTAATAAAACTTAAGGATATTAATAAAGAACTAGGAGAAAATTTAATCCTTACCTGCATGAAAGTACCTGAAGTATTTCTGTAATAAACAGAGTAATATTGTATAATCCCATTAGGTTTTGAAGGAGGTGTCCAGAAAAGAATTATTGATGAAGAACTGAGGTTTACATAATAAACATCTTTGGGAGGATCACTTGGTGCTATAAAACAAATAATTGAACAAATTACTGTATTTGTGGCTACAAGTAATGTCTTAAATGTCCTGAATTTTACCTACAGTTTATAAATTAAAGTGATAAAAATTGTTTTACAAAAAAGCTTGAATTAGAAATAACGTCTGTTTAGATGTCAGAAACAAAATCCATAAAATGCATTGGGTCAGCCCTCTAATACTTTATTATAAGCATATTCAAGCTGAAGACAGATGAATTTCTTACTCATAAAATGCTATCCCTGTTCTAAAACCTGTCCACTGCTCTGGATACAAGAACAATATTATAACAGGTTTCCAATATAAAATACACAATTTGAAATTCTAATATAGCTTTGAATTTTTACATTTAATAAGGGTCATAGACAAATGATTCACGAATTTTATGTTTTTTCATTTAATAAACACATAAAATTCCATGTGTCAAGTAAGTTCTGTGCTAAGTGCATTTAAAAATATAAACTTATGTAACCTTCAGAATAACCCTGTAGAATGATACTATTTCCACATTACCAATGGGAAATTGAGGCACACAGAGATTAATTTTCCCAACATCTCACAGCTAAAAAGTGATCAAAATGCAATTTTTCATCTAATTGATGATGAATATTAGGTTTAATAATACATTTTTATATTTGTATTTTTTGGGGGCAGGATATTCTTTTTTAATAAAACAAAAAACATTATTTTAATATATCGGTATACATCCTTTGCTCACCTCCCTCTGGTGTTCGAAAGTTAATGATATTGCTTCTTGTTTTCCCATCACCAAATCTGGTGCTAGCTGTTACATAGGCACTGTATTCAACATCATAATCCAAATCTGATAACTCCAATGATGTTTCAGTTATATTAGTAGTCTTTAATGATGATTCATTCCTGAGAGAAAAAAGAATATTATCTGTATAATTGAATTCTAAAATTTAACATATACTTTTTGAGCATACTAACATTAAACAATATTAATATATCAAAATGTATTCATCTAGATTAATAGAATAAAGGTATTGGTTATCCTGAAACACTGAAAAGAGTAAATTTCAGAATACTTTAGTGAATTAACTTATTTTGCTTTCAATTATATTCAGTAATTAGATCAAATGTTAATATGATGTTCATAATTAGAGTTTCCTTGGACCGATTTTAATGGGTATCCAGGAATATTATGTACTAAAGTAATTACAATATTCCCTTTCCTACTGATATTTTAGTTGTCCAAATATTTGTTCGTTTCAAATTCTTGCAAAATCTTATTTAAACTATTAATTTATAAAATAAGCCTATCTTTCAAATATTGTACGAAAGTAACATTTACTTCAGGCCAACACAAAGAAATACATACCAAATATTTAAATAGTGGTAAGTAAAATAACAAGGCTGTGGGCTCCCCTGTACTTATTTAACAGAAATGAGATTGAAAACAATGTGTGTATATTATCCAGGAAAGAAGAAAATATAGCTTATATCTCATTCAATGAAAATCTTTAAAGTATTTAAAATATCGCTCAAGAGAAGAAAAGCAAATCAAATCAATATTGACTCAGAACTCTCCAACTAAGTACCAAAATCGCAAAAGGGGAATAAAAGAGTCTAAGAACAAAATATAACACTATTTTATTACAGTCATGTTCAGTTTTCACAGTTTGAATTGGATATAGATTAATATTTAAACCCAAAAAATGAACATGTATATCATGGTGTTGAAAAATGAACACTGTTTTAAAATTTAGACTTTAGGAACAATAAAATTAAAGATTTAGATAAGGAAACATGATCAGTAATACAGAAAAAGTATATGTCTCCTGTAATCTCATATTTTTCTTCCTTAGACACACAAGGCACTGAAGAAGTAAATGAATATTCCCGCTGAATAGAAAATCCCTTTCTTTACCATTGAAACATTTGAAGCCTTTAATCACTAGGAGGAATGATAGATTTTAAGTGAATTAAAGATATCTACAGAGATACATTTCAGTCATGGTTTTACTAGCACAGAAGCACCAATTTATTCCAAATATAAGTACTGTTATCTGAAAAATAGTTGGAAAGCTTACCCCAGTGAGAAAAATATGGATTCAGAGTATGCTATTGGAGACAGGCAGGATTAGCCAGGCTATTCAGCAATTTGAAACAGTTTCATTTGACATCCTTTTTCAGAAGCAGTCAGGAGAGCTTTCTTTGACTTCATTGAGACCAGAGGAGATGGTCTTTTACAACTCTTAATATTGTGGCTATTAGTTGCCAAAAAAGATGCCTTGTCATAAAAATTACCCATATTCTTATCATTGGTCACAGGTCATCGGGACACTACAGAAGAGCTAATCCAATGTGTATCTCTAAAACTATGCAATTAGACTGAGTGTGGTGGCTCATTCCCGTAATACCAGCATTTTGGGAGGCTTGGGAGGCCGAGGCAGGCAGATCACTTGAGACCAGGAATTTGAGGCCAGCCTGGGCAACATGGCGAAACCCCATCTCCACTAAAAATATAAAAATTAGCCCTGCATGGTGGGCACAGCGGTGGACCCAGCTTTCAGGAGGCTGAGGCACGAGAATCACTTGAGTCCAGGAGGTGGAGGCTGCAGTAAGCTGAGATCATCCCATAGCACTCCAGCCTGGGCAACGGAGCAAGGCTGTGTCTCAAAAAAACAAAAATAAAATAAAGTTTTGCAATTAGCTAATGTAGTCTAATTGCATTATATCAATTTTTAAAATTATTTTCAATAACATATTTCAATGTTATCTGCTACCCCGCATCACTACCTTCCTGCCCTGATTTTCACACCAAAATCTTGTATCTAAGTATCTACCAACTATAAAAAACTCAGATTATGTTCCATAGATAATACAGAATCAAGGCAATTACCTGGAAACACATATCAAAAATAAATTTTATCTCGAATAGTTTAGTAAAAAGAAGCTAGTTGTTATAAATTATATTAATAAAAAATGTAAGAGTTCACTTCAGTTTGCATATATAGATTTAGTTTCTACATCTAGCCTGGTTTACTCTCAGAGACAAAATTGAGCTAACAAAATTTTTTTCAGATGTCTCGTCTGCTTGGGGTTTATTTTGCTTTTTGGAATTTAGGATTGTGGCTGATATTTTAATGAATAAGTTAGAAAAATATGGTAGCATGAATATTAATTAAAACAATTCCAAATATATGAAGTATGTAGGAGATGATTTGTTATAAAACTGACAACTAAAAGAAAAAGAAAGGAGACAGAAGTGAACTGTAACCAAGCCTCTAACTCCATTTTCCTTATTCTTAGTAGCTGTTGCTGAATTGGAGATAACACATAAATGTCTGTGCTGAGGTGTGAGCTCTCTAATCTCAAAGGAGCAATCTTCAGAGCAATCCTGAAGCTCAAAGTGTTCACTCCCACCCATTTGTAGGAAATTCATCTTTGACACTGCTATAATAAGTTGTTACTCTTGCTTTTAGCTGGCTTAGTTTTAAAATCTTTTTTGTTCTTATTAGCTTACAAATATTATAATAGAATTATCATGTATTCCATTATAATATTTTATTTTCATTTATAAAAGCATATGTTCTATATCTTGATTTTTTCTTTTATCATGTTAACACCAACGATCTATAACATGTTTTCATAGTTGCATAATTTGGATATATCATAGCTATCTAGTCATTCTATGAATTAACTTTTAGGTTGTTTCTCTATTTCTTTAGCTATTGCTAACAATGATGCTGTAGTTATCCTTAAAGAAGTATTTTTTCATAATAGTACTTTATTTCTACCCACTAAATTGTGTGATTCTTGTTTAAATTGTTTTAATTAAAAAAATTTTTTAGAGACAAGGTCTTGTTATGTCGCCCAGGCTAGACTTCAATCCTGGGCTCAAAGTATCCCGCCACCTCATCCTTCCTTCAGAGTAGCTGAGACTACAGGTATGCAACACTAGGCCAGGATACAAACTGTGTCTTTCTTGATTCAAATGGTTTCAGTGCTTTGTAAAATTTTAAGATTACTACTCCAAAATGATTACTGTATCAAATTTTAAGTTATGATAATTATAATTATTTAGAATCATACCAACAATATATACGAGTACTCATTTTGACAAACTTACATAAATATCTAGATATTATTAATATAGTTAGATTTTAGCAGATTTTTAGTTAGATTTTAGTTAGCCATTCCTGGGCTGTGAGACAGAATGTCTTTTTGCATGTTTGTTGGTCATTTATGATCCATCAAAACAAACAAACAAAAAACTTTATGGGTTTTTAAATATTTTATTTTAGTCTTTTAAATAAAAACATTATTAGTCTGAGTTCTTTAGACACCATTCTTTACAATGTACAAGCAAAGATAACTTTCCCACTCTCTTTGAATTTAGAGATGATATGTACAAAATCAGTATTTAACAAAATCCAACAAAATTTAATTAGCATCTACTTTGTCTCAGGCACTACTTCAGGCATCATATGAGTAGGATACAGCCCCTATCCTCAAAATAGACAGATAAAGCAGTAAATAATTCTAAAGCAATTCACTAATAACAATGTGACTTCCTTAAGAACAAGGACAATAACCTTTTCCCTTAGTAGCTAAAAGTAAACAACAATGAAACCAATGAGCAAAGAAATTAGTTGTGACCAAAGTATAAAAAAAGGAGAATAAGGCATGGCCCCAAAGATTCAGGAATTGTTCACTAGAAAGCTAGTTTGTAAACTTTGAGAGTAGAATAGGGAGTTGAGAGAGGTGGGAGAAGAGAAGAGGCATGAATATGTACGGTTCTCTAGGCAAGGTTTGAGACCCTTTGAAAAGTCTGAGTTTTAATTTTAATCTTCATCGTTTGCTATTTTATTCCATGTGGTAATCTACCCTGATGATACATCATCCCTGTTCATTTTTGTGACTTTATTTTCAAAACTTTAATCAGTTATCATCCAAATATTCTAGATTATTCCTTTTACTCACTAAATGGAACTTCCAAAATGAAGAATGTGAACACTCACTTACTTGACTCTTTATTAGGTTATTTTTTTCCTCATATGAACCAGTGATATTCACTAATTTCCCCATTATATGTGGAAACTATTCTTCCATGTTGTACTTTAAGCATAATTACTCTACACAACTTGATAGCATCAGTAGTTGGTGATTACGTATTAAATAACCCCAAACTAGCAAGGCATAAACACTTGCACATTTCTAAAGCTGTTCTAGAATCTCAGAGATAGTCTGAGTCAAAGTAGTGTATTCATTTGTTGTTATTGTTCTTATTGTCATCATATGGTTGACTGGCTAAGTTAGTTTGGTTTGGTTTGGCTTTGTTTTGCTTGTTTGCCTTAGGTAGGAAAGACAAATTTAAAAGATTAAAGGAAAAAGCCACTCAAGAGAAGGAGTTTGAAGCTGAGGAAGCATACACTAATAATCCATAGATAGCTTTAGAGCAGACCCAAGGAATTAAGATCCAGAGGCAGGAGGAAGGATTGCACTTGAACTGAAAAAGAGAGATTTCATCCTCTGAGAATGGATGTGAGTTGATGGATTCTGGAAGCAAGAATTTGAAATAGTCAAATTTTTGAGATAGTTGCCTCAATTTTAAGTTTAGAATGGAAGCTGGGTTTGTCTGCTTTGAATGAGGTGAGTGAGGTTTAGCAAAGGGCTTGAAAATAGAGATGATTTGTGAAAATTTCCCAGGACAACAGGAAAGGAAACTGATCAAAAACATGTAAAATGACTTCCCAGGGGTGCTCAAAGATTAGTGAGATTAGAAAAACACGACTTTTAAATGAACATTTTTTCTTCCTTTCATTACTTCAACAAATATTTATTGAGGGCCTAAAATATAAGTTATTACACTCTGTGATGGATATATGAAGGTGAAAAAGATGTAACCTCTG